ATATATATATATATATATATGTTAAAACGTAAATAGCATCTTATAAAAGTTTTTAATTCGAAATAATAATCGGAACAGAAAAATGGATATTTTGAGAAATACCGGTCTGTGGCATCTATATCTTTTAAATTGGAACAATTTGTTACTGCTGCAATACGTCTTGCTGAGGAGAAGAAGGAGAGTGACTCATCGCCGGTGGTGGGTTCGGCCGGTAAATCGGGTGAGAGACGCCCAAGGTTTCTACTGTAATCTCGTCAGGGAACTTATTGATACTGATCACAAAGAATTTTTTGGGTTGTTCCGAATGTCGCCTGATCAGTTTCATCTTTTGGTTGACCTCCTTCACCCTCGTCTTAAAAAGCGAAGTAATCGCACACCACTACCAACAGACCTTCGTGTTGCCGTCACATTGCTGTGAGTTTCTTATATAGTTTTTTTAGCCTTGCTTGTTACTGTTTAGTCTATTTTAATGTCATCTGTGATAAACTTTGCAGGTACTTGGCTCAAGGAAATACAGCCAAACTGAAACATGCTGAATTTAGGATTGGGACATTCACGGTGTACAAAGTCATACACGAAACTTGCAGAGAGATTTGGAGCGTACTTCAGCCTTATGTTCTGAAAGTTCCCAGCAAGGAAGACTGGAAGACAATTAGTGATGGTTTTATGACATCCTGGCAGTTTCCCAACTGCCTAGGGGCCATCGATGGTAGACATATGAGGATTCAAGCACCCAGAAATTCAGGATCGAATTTCTTTAATTATAAACAGTTCTTCAGTATGGTTATGATGGCAACGTGTGATGCACAGTACAAGTTTACATGGGTGGATGTCGGACAGTTTGGTAAGTGTTATTCTTCATTGCATTTTCTGTAGCTATAGAATGATAATCGCTGTTCGGCGTATCGCCTTGTAAATAGCATAGTTACGTCATGTCCATGTATTCATGTATCGTTTATACTTAGTTGCATAAGTTGTTTGTAATTCTCGCGCGAAACGTCGGCGGATCGCGATCAGCCAAATCATGCGACTCACCTGTCGGTGCTGCCATCGCCCATCCGCCGACGGTATCCATCCCCCCGGAAAGGGAACAACTACGCCGCAGCGACATGTTCCAGGACCGCGGGGACAGAAGCATTAACAATTCAGCCGTCCTACGGCACACACATTTTTGGCCAGCCGTCTTACGGCATACAAGCATCGTCAAGTAGTCGGAGAGGACACACCTCTCAACAGAAGCATTCGCAAGTCAGCCGTCTTACGGCAAACACACGTTTTGGACAGCTGCCGTGCGGCACACACATATTCTAAGAGCCGTCTTACGGCACGCTTTCGCCGGGCAGAACGCGTCTCGAAATCGCCCTTGCCGCCTTGCTCAACCGGGAGTGCGCACGTCTCCAACTGCCTTTTCCTGCCTGCTCTATCGCTTGTTTTCCACCGTTTTGCTTGCTTGCACGAGTTTTGCCACCGCATGCCGAAAGAGACCCACGGAGCGGCCAAGTTCAAGGGACAGGACGAGGATTGACGGAATCACGGGGACGACGGCCGACACGGTGAGTCGCTTCGCTTAATATTTCGTTGCATGCGTTTCTGCTTTCGCGTTAAACATTTGATAGTCGTGAGGGGAAAGCGACAACCCCCCTCTGGTCCTTCGAGTATCGCAAATCTTGCCTCCGGGGCGAAACTATCCCCGTTCAGAAGTACAAAATTGCAACTTAAAATATTATATTATCTAATGATCTAGATATCTTTGTACTTTGTTAATATATGAACTATTAATTTGGTTATTCTTTTTTTAACTTGATTATGCTTGGTTAAATAATCGTCGTTCTTCCTCAATTTCTTTTTGGCGATGTTCTTCATCCTTTCGAGCTTGTTCTTCTTTAAGCTTTATGCGGTGTGACGTTGCGGCTCGCCGTACCGTCGCGGCGCCCCGCCGCCGTCATAAGGCGCGGAATTTCGCGCCCAGGAACGGACCAGGGAGACAACGACGAGATCTCCAGGGGTCGTATTTAATCGCGTTTCCGCATTTTGATTACTTTTTTTGTTTTTTTTATGCAATATAATACGCGCGGCACCTCACCCATACCACGGCAAATCTTCGAGGGAGTATTTGGCGAAGGAAATCAAGGACGATCGATAACCAAGGAGGGGTGGCAAACGCGGAAGCAGCAGAGATCGCGGGCTGGCGAGAGCAATGCGGCAGGCGGGCGGCACGTGCGGCAGCGACGGACGAGGCCGCCGATAGCGGGGCCCCAAGCGCTTGGGTAAACACCCGGTTTCAGCAAATGATCTCCACAAAACATCGACCTTCGGGGTGACTGATCACCGCCCCAGGGTCAAACCGGAGGCACACCGGCGAGAACCGAGTTCCGTCCGCTGCCAAGGACAGAATTGAGGAGTCGTACGCCGCCGAGGGACCGTGCACGCCCCCGAAGGATCTCGTATCGACAGCCCTGCGCCGGGACACCGCGGGCTTGCAAGCTCGCGCCCGATTGGCTCGCGCGCCCCTCAGGAAGGGGTACCGTATTGATTCCGCAATCGAGCGGGTCTAGCGTTTTCACTCTCTGGTCGTCCGTCGGCGAGATACTAAGTTTTGCTGAGATACGCGATAGCCACCCCGAGTTGGGTATTTCGATAATTGTCTGGCAGATCGAGGATCGTTGGAGGAAGGTGACGGCGAGGAGCCCAGGAGGAGGCATATCACCGGTGAGGTTGCCCGTAAATCGCGATATGTAAAGCCACGACACCGCCCTCCGGTGCACGTTCTCGCTCGGGACAACGCATGTCAAGATCGAGAGTAATTTTGCGGTCGATAACGAGAGCGAAGGGCCTCGGGATGGTATCGTGGCCGCGGAACCGTGGTACAAGCGTTATGGCGAATCCCTGGAGATCGCGATAGGCGTTAATGAGTTCGATATCGCGAGTATATTGCGTTGTCCTCGCGACCTTGGTGTACGGCCGCATACAGGCCGGTATTTCGTCAATTGCGTTACCGTTTCTTCGCGTCGGGAAATTCTTGTGTTTGAGCGTCGGTGTTAGCGTATCGATTTGTGTTCGGATCTCGTTATTACGGGTTGATAATTGTGCTCTCGCGTTGAGAAACGTT